TATGATATGTTGTTATGTTATGTTGTTATGTTGTGTTATGTTATGTTATGTTATGTTATATTATGTTGAAATGTTGTTATGTTAAGTTGTTAAGTTATGTTATGTTATTATATATATACACTCTAAAAAAAATGCTGGGTTGTTTCAACCCAACTTTGGGTCAAATATGGACTAACCCAACTTTTGGGTTAAACTTTTAATGAAAAAATTATATTTAGTTATATTTGACCCAAAGTTGGGTTGAAACAACCTAGCATTTTTAGAGTGTATATATATATATATACATAACATTAAGAAATTACAATTTAAGTCATAATAATAATAACAAATAAATAACATTACAACAATAATAAATGACAAGTGAAAATAAATAAAACATTGATGACTACTACAACTACTACTAATAATAATAATAATAAACTATAATAAATTACATTTAAATAAATACAAACAACAAACAAATAAGCAAACAAACAAACAAATATTTAGATACATTTTTTACTTAAAAACCCAAAAGGCTTGTCTAATTCAATGATTCGAATATTATTAGTTCTCTAAACGCCAGTAAACGTACCAAAGAAATATGGGCTGCAAAAACAAGATTTATCAAAAGGGAAAAGAGAATTATTGCTAATGCATATCAATAATCACTGCAAGACACACACTGAACAGGTGAATGATGATGAAGATGATGATGAAGATGAAGAAGATGATGATGATGAAGAAGAAGAAGATGATGATGATGATGAAGAAGAAGATGAAGATGATGAAGATGATGAAGAAGAAGAAGATGATGATGATGATGAAGAAGAAGATGATGATGATGAAGATGAAGATGAAGAAGATGATGATGATGAAGAAGAAGATGATGAAGATGATGAAGAAGATATATATATATATATATATATATATATATAAAACATTTCTGTCCCCCTCACTTCTGAAATGATGGCTACGCCCCTGGCTGTGGATGTTTCACACGAGGATCTTCTTGTCTTGATCTCTGTCTCTATCACTCATTCTGATGTTAAAGGCGTGAAATGAAAGAACTGTGATATTTTGCCGGTCGCTTGTTAAGCGCTCTCTCTCTTTACTGAAGTCGCTTGGGTTTGTGCATTAGGGTTAGGGTAAGTGAATTACCGCAGTCAGGCGCCAGAGGGCGACACCGCGCCGGAAAACCTTTGGACAGAGCGAAACCACGTTTTAAAGGACCATTGTTATTTATTCTAAAGAGAGAGAAGCACAGTTTTCACCTGTGTGGAGTGACGTCATCCGCTAAAAATCACCTTGACAACAACTGATTAAAAGTGAAAGAAAAAAAATGATAATAATAACACGCCACTTAACTTTTTTTTTTTTTTTAATTCCAAAAACAGATATATGCTGAGATATGATAAAATGATAAAAACATTAGTAGTGCAAAAATATAACAACGCCACTATTACAACATTGTTATATTACAATATTACAATATTTCTAATGAAACTGTCACGGCGCGGTCAGGAATCACACCGTGTGAGCAAGGGTTTTGGGTCCAAATGCAGGTTTTATTCACTGCCAGGGAAAACAAAGGTAACAAACAGAAACAGAAACAATAATGAGAAAACCTGTTTATGGCCATTTTACACACATTTTGCATAAAGAAAAATGGTATATCAAATCATTCTGTCATAACATAGTTGAGATTCATTTTTATACAAAGTTTAAAAGGTAAAAAAAAAAAATGAAAAAAAAAACCCGCCACTTAATCTTTTTTTTTTTTTTTAATTCCAAAAACAGATATATGCTGAGATATGATAAAATGATAAAAACATTAGTAGTGCAAAAATATAACAACGCCACTATTACAACATTGTTATATTACAATATTACAATATTTCTAATGAAACAACAGCGACACCAGCAGGCAAACAGGTCTGTCTTGCCTCCCCTGAGCCCACTGAGTTTTAACAGACCCCCCATAGCATCCCATGAGTTTGCTAGGAGGTTAGAATTTTATTTTTTTATTTTATTGTATTAAAATTATTTCAATTTGTATTTACAAAATGTGCAAATATCAGAAATCTGTCAAGAACTTGCTGTTGAATTTTGTAATTTTGAAAGGGGGGGGGGGGGGGGGGAGTCACATGAGGAAGCAATGCCTGTATCACGATATGATTGGATATGACTGGTTATGTTCGTCTGTGATTGGCTCATGCGATAATTCCCGCCTCTTGTGTTGATGCGCGTTCGCGAATCAGTCTGAATGAACAATATAACGGCGTTGATGGGAAGACAGTAAATAGCTCACACACTTAGATTTAGCCACCATGCTACGTCAAAATAAGACTTGAAACGGCCTGAAAACATGATCTGTGGGAGTTTTTAGTGAGTAATCATCTTTAAAGTAAATCTCTGTGACCAATATTTACCGAACTTTGATGACTGATGATCCGAAAAATTTAAAAGTAGTTAAAAGTTAACTATTAAAAAGTATAGCTGAACATTTCAATTGTTACGGCATTGAGTTATTATTTTGATATTTTCATATGATGCGATTTCAGTTGTTCCTTTCTCTTTGGAGTGTTACAAGCTCTTGGTGCATAAAGAAGATCTGTAAAGTTAGCAAAGACTAAAGTCTCAAATCCAAAGAGATATTCTTTATAAAGTTAAGAGTCAGCCACACCTACCTAAAACGGCTCGTTCTAACACGCCCCACATGTCTACATCACTATGTGGGAAGATTTGCATAACGCCGCCCAAATGTTCACGCAAAGAAAGAAGGCGTAACCTTTATTCTCGCTGTAGTATTGTTGCCGCCGCCGCCGTGTCGTGAAGGCGCTGTGTGTTTCGTTGTGAAAGCGAAACTACTTTGTTTGTTCTTCCAAAAGAGGACACGACTAGAAATCAGTGGTTAAGTTGTATTTACAACACTGTTCCAGAACACTTCAACCCAAATATTCAGATGTGTGCAGCACATTTTATGGAGGACTGTGTCCTGATCCGGGGAGAGTAGACTACAATGCCGGCTGTTCTGACTCACAGACTGTAAGTACGTTTTTATATTTAAAGAATTTGCCACTGACAACTTAGTTTTGGGCCTCATTACACCAAATACACCAAATAATGTTCTTTTTGGCAGCATCATATGACCCCTTTAAGAATATTTTAATTTGATAGTTTTTTAAAAGCTATGCTGGTCATTCAATTCAATTCAAGTTTATTTGTACAGCGCTTTTCACAATATAAAGCAACTGTATTGTTGCAACTTTACAGCCAATGAAGTTTCTACAATATTTAGTGGTAGTTTATCAGTGGTGACTGCCAGTTTATGTACATATGGCAGAAATGTACGGAAAAATTTAAGACGTAATCAAACAGACGATGAACACTATTAACAGCAATTATTATATGATGCAATCAAACTTATAGCA